CCAGGATCAGGAAACGGTCCTCCATAAAATGTGCTGCACACATCTGAATATTTGGATTGAAGTGTTCTGGAACAGTGTTGTAAATACAACTTAACCACTGATTTCTAGTCATGTCCATTTTTGGAAAGCCAAACAAAGTAATTTCGCTTTCAGAATGAAACACAGCGTCACACACGGCGGCCTAGAGTGAGTGGCGGCGGCCTAGAGTGAGCAGAGGCCAAGGGCTAGAGGGAGGAACGGCCGGAGGGCTAGAGTGAGCAGAGGCGGCGGGCTTGAGAACGGCGCGGACGGCGGATTCGACCCATTTGTGACGACCCCGGGCTAGACTCCGCTTCATCCACGGTGAAAGCCTATCCGGCGCAAAGTTGTTGTATTTCCTCAGCAACCAGCATGGATCAGCTCCAGGCATGACGAAGCAGATATCGTCCTCTTTTGGAAGACCAAACGCCTTCTTTCTTTGCGTGAACATTTGGGCGGTGTTATGCAAATCTTCCCAGATAGTGACGTAGGTATGTGGGGGCTTGTTAGAACGAGCTGTTTTAGGTAGGTGTGGCTGACTCTTAACTTTTATAAAGAATATCTCTTTGGATTTGAGATTTTAGTCTATGCAACTTTACAGATCTTCTTTATGCACCAAGAGCTTGTAACACTCCAAAGAGAAAGGAAAAATTAAAATCACATCATATGACCCCTTTAAGAAAAATGTCACCTACATCATGGATGGCCTGAGGATGAGTAAATTAACAGCAAATTATCATTTTTGGGTCAACTATCCTTTAAGATCATCATACCTGAAACTCTTTGGCCCTTACATCTGGTATTAATATGCATTTTTGTCAATCCGATCACAAGTGGACAACGCTAAATACATGTGTGAACGGGGTTTAAAACATTTTGAGCTTGTCCACTTTTGACCACTTCCAGAGGTATTTGAAAACACATTTGATTGAATTTCACTTGTAGTGTGGATACTCATGTGGTCAAATATGTTCGAACAGCCACTCTATTTAACTATACAGTATATACACCAACTGCTGTTCGAACAAAAAAAAAGCATTCAGCAGAGACAGCCCAAATCAAATATAGTTTGGCAGCTGCTGTCTCTGCTGAATGCTGGAGAGATGTGGCGTACAAAAGAAGAGGAAGGGGGGGAAAGCAGAGTCCTCTAAAAGACCACAGCTCATTTCAGTCCACTGAGTGTGTCAGTTACACTTCAAAGTGAAAGCTCCACAATGGCTCATATCTAGTAACCCATAGAAACATTCCAACACACAAAGAGCTTCAAAGAGCCTTAGCTGAGATTCCCACTGCGCTGCAGCTGCCTGTATGAACACATTTGTGTTAACATTGTGCGAACACAGGCAATACAGAGGATTTAACCATTTGAAACTAAAGGAGTTAAGCATTTTAACTAACCAAAGAAATGTAGAGTCTTGTTTTAAAGAGTAATAATATAGCAACAATTTCTATAAATTGAAAAACTGTTGTTTGCAATTAAAAAATATATTATACATATGGTGAATATGCCGGTTGTCTAAGAAGCTCCAAAGAGTTTTTTTTCTAATATGTTTCAGTTTGGGACCAGGTTGCTTAAAAAGCTCTAATAAGCATCATTATCCCTTCAGCAACACTCAAATTGCATTTTCCTCTTGTGAGATTTGCCAGAGAGGCATTTCAAGGGGATTCCAGGGAACATGAAAGAAATATTTGCTCCTAGACCCCTAAAAGGTGTAATAACAACATTTAAAAGTACTAGGTTGTCATTCACCCTTAGTATTTTGTGACATGCTAAAGCCTGTCGAACATGAAATGTGATTTCCAGTAAGAGTTTAATAAAGCAATGAAAGACCAGCCTGTGGTTTATCATGCTGCAGACTTTCTCTGAACCAAAAAAAAACAGCTCTGAAGAACACCAAATGCTAGTTATGCCTATAAAGCACTTTCATAAGAAGGGCTCTGGAAATTCTGACTGATTGCAAAATCATACAAGCACCACTCTTGGTATTCAGTATTGCCCCTTGTGTAATCAAGTCTATTCTTATAAAATAATTTGATCATCTGTCCTCCAAAGGAAATAACAATGTTACCATGGCTTCACAGAAAGGCGACAATTCCGACACAGTGAGACATTGGATAATGATTGTTTTGCTTCTTTTCTTTTCACTCCGGCTGCATGCTGCTGATTATTTAATTACAGTTTACACAGCCACTTGGTCTGAATGTCCTGATATCCCATGGAGCAGAAATACTCTTGGCGTATAACTGGTCAAATGTGTTGATTTGCTTATTCAATCAAATCCAAAGTATTGGGAAGCACAGTCTTCATTAATGTTTGATTTCTGCTGAAAATACTAGGGGAACCATCTAGCATTGCAAAACAATGGTTTGTCAAATAACATAAGTATCTTGCCAGAGCTTGGACGTGGTGAGGGCATATAAAAGGTGTTGTCCGGCCAGGGTCATGATACCAGACCTCCTTTCTCTCTCCTACGTTCTTCTCTGCACTATACTGACCTATAAACAAATATGAAAAGTAAATAAAGAATAATTCTTGGAATTTTACTGAAGCAACTTGCCATTTGGTTGGTTATTCACATCACACCTACATGTGGCAGAGGTTGTACAGTACTGTGTCATTGGGTCTGATAATATATCGACTAACTTTTCGACCACCGAACAAAATGCAAATGTGTGTATGAATTAAATTGTAAAGAATGATGGACTGTAGATGATTTGTACATAACTTCTGCAAGATATTTTTTAATGGCTTTTAAAAAGTGATAGGGACAGAATCTCGATTTGACCAAAAAGAGATGGGAATATGTCTTACCCATCCCACACACAAATTACACATATGTTCTCTCCTAAAGGCCTTTCTCTCTTTAAAGCAATTTTGTAATAATAATAACAATATATTAAAATTAATTGTTTTAAAAATTAAAATAATTTAACATTTATAAATTGTAGAAGGCACATTTTTGTTACAGTAAACTATGGAGAGAACATAATTACACACACACACACACACACACACACACACATATATATATATATATATATATATATATATAGTTTGGACAAACTTATGGTTTAAGACCCAACCACATCTGGTTTAATACAGATACAGATACTGGCTTCGCTTCACATCCTCTATAAGGAGCTCTTTGTGGGTTTTGGTTCTGCTCATTTTCTAGTAGTAGTTAGAGCATTGCTATGTGATTGCTTGGGTGGTTTCTAGATGGTTCCTTAGTGAATCAAACATTGTCTACCTGCAAAAAACAGTAAGCCTGTTTGTAAAAAGTATTAGTACACCTATCCTTAATAAGCTGCACAATTTGAGGAATCATTCATGTCCATAGTACAACAATTCAGGGTGAGTTACACCATGAAGTTTTATGTCATCTGTGAAATTACATTGCTTCTTGCATGTTTTGCAACACTCTCAAAGTAAATTGCCCAGTGAGTGAGTTTTATCTACTTTTTTTTTTTTTTTTTTTTTTTTTTATAGATAAACATGAATCTGGCAATATTTTACATTGGTTGGATTGCAGCAGTCCGTAAATGGTTCTAAACGGTTAATAGTTTTGTTTGAAAATGATGTATCACCTACACTAAACCCTAGCCTAAACCGAACCAATAGTGTTAACAAAAGCAAACTGAAGCATCAGCTCCATTTTAGCTTGCTTCTACAATTATTTACTTTCTTTTATCAACATGTCCTGAGTACCAGGTACCAGATGAGATACCTTTCAAATTTACTATGCCAGCAAGCCCATACATATGGTACTGATTGATGCAAATGTCAAAATGTAGTAGTTTACAAATCAAATTTTTTTTTTTTTTGCATATATAGGTACTCTTTTTGAGTTTTGCAATAATATAGGTAGAGAGCTGTTCATCAGCCATGATGTGTGAGAGTGCGAGTGTGAGAGTGCGAGAGAGATGCCGATATAGCTTCTATGATTCTTGAGCTGGTGTGCATCTGTTGGGGGAGTGGTTCACATTTTGGCTCTGTGTAGTCATGCAGTTAAGACATGTTTCCAAAATGTCATGATCTATACCAAAGCCGTATCTTATAAAGAGGTCAACCTGGTCCTGAAATTTGGTTGTTTTGTGATATAAACGAAGCTTGCATCAGACATCAAAAGGAATCATTATAAAACCTTTTGTGAAGAAAAAAAAAAAAACATTACTGGTGGATTGTAGATTTAACGCCGGTTACCAAATCCCCTTGGTACACCTCAGAGTAGCACAAAAGACTCATGCCCTCTTGCTCAGCAGGTGCTGTAGCATTTAAATCTAAGCAGTCAGATTCCAATACTGCACTTTTGGCCTGTGCTGTTGGAATGGATTTTATATTGTGTCTCAATCTAAGTTTATCAACACAGCATATATGAAAAGTAACAGATGCCATATTTAATTCAAATGCAGCAATTTTCATCCTGTATTATGTGGCTCCAGCTATACCTAAATAAAAAAGTTCATGATGATAAAACATAGTCAAAGTGTAAGAGAATGATGGGTCAGGCTATCCTAAGGGACATGACATTAAGAGTGTGCATTTTAAAGAAGAGGTCCTGTAACCACCTCAATTCATTTCTCATGGCTATAAGCTAAATTTCTGTTTTGACATGTGTTGTCTACTAATATTGATTGGTTAATTGTAATTTAGAGGTGAGTGTCTATATTGAGAACTTTTTTGTGTTGGATCACCAGAGATCCATCCATGCCATAAGGAACAAGCTTTTCCAAGTGTAATGATGACATATACTGGTCAACAAATCTGGAATTTCTAAACTCTAAAGGTTCCTGCAAGAATGAAATATGGCCCTGCTGCATACACTGCAACTGTAATAAATATATAAATAGTATAAACGGTTTATATATTAGAATCTTATTCATTTAATTGGAGTAAAACTATAATAGCTGATCCACTAGCATTTCTACATTAGATTTCTTACATTATAGCATTTTATGTCTGACAAAAGTATTTGAGTCTATACACCAAACTGAATTGACACCGAATATCACGTCGAGTAAAATATAGTAACACAGTAAATATAGTCGATATTCCTCCAGCGTGATGACATCTCGAGGTTAAAATGGAATAAATTGTTGAGCAACAAGTCAACAAGGGGGCGGGGGGGGGAAGCGCATGCAACCGTTTTGTGCAGGAGTGTCGCCTACCTGAGTCCGAATTCCTCGGCCTGGCAAGGTCTCGGAAATAATAAATGAAATCCAAACAGTTTTCGTTCTGAACCTCCCCTTTAGAACAAAGATCCGATAAGAGTTCTAGTGCTTTTTGACAAATCTCGTCCTCTCTGTCGACAGGCATTTCCCACCAGCATCCTTCTGGATTGTGGAGCTTCTAAAGCGCAATCCCCCCACAGAGAAACATCATCTCACGGACGGCATCCCACTCTCACGGACAAACCCGGCTTTCTGTAACGTGGAAATATCTCTGAGTGTTTTTTTTTTTCCTGTCAGGATTTATTCGACACGGTGAAGTTCTTGCGTGATGTGAAGCCAAGTCGCGACGCGAGTGGAGTCAGAAATGAAAAGCCGCCGGTTGAATCTTCACACACACGCGCGAACTGAAGTGTGAGGCGCTCGCTGTCCACGCTCGCCGTGGGGCTGAAGACAGTGCGCATGCTCACAGCCTGATCGCCACGTAATTAATTCAATTCAAGTTTATTTGTATAGCGCTTTTCACGATGCAAGTCGTTGCAAAGCAGCTTTACAGAAAATTAAGTTTCTACAGTATATTTAGTAGTAGCTTGTCATTGGTGACTGTCAAATTGATGTACATATGGCAGAAATGTACTGTAAAATTAAGTTAATGACGTAATCAAACAGACGATGAACACTATTAACAACAATGATTATATGTTGCAATCAAACTTGTAGCAAAATTTGTGGTGCTGAAGACAGTGCGCATGCTCACAGCCTGATCGCCACGTAATTAATTCAATTCAAGTTTATTTGTATAGCGCTTTTCACGATGCAAGTCGTTGCAAAGCAGCTTTACAGAAAATTAAGTTTCTACAGTATATTTAGTAGTAGCTTGTCATTGGTGACTGTCAAATTGATGTACATATGGAAGAAATGTACTGTAAAATTAAGTTAATGACGTAATCAAACAGACGATGAACACTATTAACAACAATGATTATATGTTGCAATCAAACTTGTAGCAAAATTTGGTAGTTTATGTTGTTTCAGGGTTGGCATCCTCTGAGGTCTGAGGGGTTTGCATAATCTCTTCTCAGGTGTTCGCTCATCTCAGGTCTTTGTAAGGGCTGGATCCAGACTGAAGCTTGTGTAATTACTCATCAGCACGAGCGCAATCATTCTGTGTTTCTTGGTCCAAAGCGAGTTAGTAGCCTACTAGCGCACGCTACCCTGTTGAAAAAAAACAGCATATGCTGGTTAGGTATGTTTTGAAGCTGGGATAGTGGTTTGAGCTGGTTTAAGCTGGTCCTTTACTGGTTTATGCTGGTCCTTAGCTGGTCATGTGCTGGTCCTAAACTGGTCCGACCAGCTTAAGACCAGCACATGACCAGCATAAACCAGCAAAGGACCAGCTTAAACCAGCAAAGGACCAGCATCCCAGCTTCAAAACATACCTAACCAGCATATGCTGGTTTTTCCAACAGGGTAATACGTTACTTTTACTCATTTAAACAGGAACTGACCTGATTTATGGTCTGGAAATTTATTCAATATCAATATGAGTGGCCACACGTGGAACAATGTGAAATCAATTAAATATCTGATAAATTTAAATGAAGAATTTTGCAGATAACTGACACAGATCCACACACAGCTAATTAATGGTCAGTTTATCAGTGTTTGCTAGCAGTGTAAATGATGAAACATCCTCTTGATTTCTGGAAGCTGAGCCTTTATCTTTAAACAAGTTGGGTATCAATTTGTGTGTGTGTGTGTGTGAGAGAGAGAGAGAGAGATAGAGAGAGAGAGAGAGAGAGAGAGAGCGAGAGAGAGAGAGTATTTGTCTGTGTATTTTCCAGTTTTTAGATTTAACATTCAGCTGACTTTAGATTTATGCATAGAAGCAAAGAAAAAACTATGCATGAAATTCTCAGCCTATTATATTTGAGACAACATTGATTAATACTGTGCCAATAACAAACTTATTTGTCTTTTTTTCACCCTCAGTCCCCAGTTTCCAAAAGACTGTACTGAAGTGACAGTGGAGTGTATAAGCCCAGTGTGTACAGAAGTGCACAGACCTTGCCCAGGACCAATAATGAAGATGAATGTACCTTGGTGGAGAGCAAAGCCTTTATCACACACTTCCTTTAGAAGAAAATAAATCATCGTTGATATTGAGGTCATCTTTACAGAGGTGAAAAAGTGCAAAATGTGGAATAAAAATCAATAAACCTAGAAGAGGACACACTATAAAGTTTATGTTGTTTACTCAAGTGTTGGCAACTCTCTAAGCAGAAGCCTATCCTTGACATGTTCTATAGTAAACATGATTCATAAGTCATTAGACAGCCTCTGTGCCCAGCAGTATTTTAATAGTTTAAATACTTTAAACTATTGCTGTTTGCTTCTGAATGCCCAACACAGTCTCATAAGGAAATGGCACTCCAACTTTTATCCTGCAACATCTTTGAAAATTATTATTTTTTTAACTATAGTTTCCCTCTTTCCTTAAGGCTAAACTTGGAAATGTTGAAATGATATGATAAAAAAAAAAAATCATTATGTTTTTTTTTTTTTCAGTTTATTTGTTTGGAATGTCTACACTGTGGCTCCAAAAATGACAAAAGCACAATAAAAGTATCATAAGAGTGGTCCTTACGGCTCCTTACTCTTTTTAGACTGAAATCAGACGTTATATGATAGCATTGTGTGAGGAATATTTTGAAATAGTTGGTTAAAATGACACAAAAGGAAAGCTGAGAATCACAGAGAAGGATCTCAATGACAGAACTCACCTTTATTAACCCATGCAAATGTCAAAAAATACCAGATGCATTCATAAACAATACACTTTAGCTTCAGTAAACAAAGCTGATTATAAATAGTTTTTAATTTATTTTACAGATATTAAGAATATATATTATGCTAATGAGTATTTCAATTATACTTTGTTTATTTGGTTCCTAAACAGCACTAATGCCACTGGATCAAATACACCCCCACTATCTTTGTATTCAGGCTACTACTAATATATATGCTACGTACTGTATTAATGTTAAACATCTTTTCAAATAAACCATACAGTATCAGCCAAAGCAATGTATTAATTTCTTTACAAAACTATCTTTTGGTGTGGTGTGAATGAACAGCAGCTAACAAACTTGTCAAGCATACAGGGGAACTCCATCAAATTATTAGTTAACTTATGGTGGCTATTTTGAAAAATCGCTGATAGCATATAAGTAGCTCTTCTTTAATAAAATCACTCACACACTCTTTTTCGAGGTACTAGACAAATTGTCTGTGTGCTCTGTGCTGTTTAGCCTTGCTTTGGGCAAATGTTACTGTCAAAAGGCCTGGTTTCACAATACTGACACCATGCATATGGTGCAAATTATGATAAGAGCTTTTAAAAGGATGATAAAAGTATCTGTAATTAAAACTGTTTTCCCCAAGAATCTGAAGAAAAACGATTGTCATCACACTAATAAATCCTTAGATGCTGAACTTAAAGTATTCATGCAATGTGCTGTACACTTCAAGCTGATAAATTCTTGGCTGCCAGTTAATGCCTGGGAGCTATAAAGAAATCTCTGATGGTATTTTAACAGTGTAATATTGCTTTACAGATTTTCAGTCACGGATAAATCCCAGGTTACTCTGCAGCTTATGAATATGTATACAATTTAATTTATTCTTAATTGGCATGGTAATTTTTTCTCTTCCAGATTAACTCTGAAGCTTGTAAGAGATTGTTTAATAAAAACTGAAACTCAGATGCACAATGAAATTGAGATACACATTTCCCTGAGAAGGGATTGTAGTCTCATTCATAAAGTGTATCATATAAACCTAGAGAGATATTCATGAATGTCAGTCAACCCAAATAATTTATCATACATGATGGACTGGCAATGTGTCCAGGGTGCTTCCCTGTCTATAGCTGAGACAATGGAATGGGCAATATTTTCACAATCTAGTGCATGCTTTTACACACATCAAGATTTATCCAAATTAGACTGCTGTTTTGGAGGGAAAAAAAAAAAAGATTTTTAGAAAACTTTATTTATGAGTAATGTCAACTTATTTCATTTAAATCCACTTAAAATAATAACTACTCTAACTATTAGCTATAGCAACAGCGAACGCATGCTAACTAACTAACATAGATCACTGCATGGTGGTTATTGCTTTTAATATAAAGCAACATTCAGTATATATACCGTATATATTCACCACAATGGTAACTTCCCCAAAACAGCAACATAACAGAAACCACTATAAATTCCAACATAACAGAACATTAAACAGTAACAAATCTCCTTCTATATTAAGTTTGTGCAAAAACACATCAAATAACTTCTTTTTTGGGCATTTATTTTGGCATGTCCAAGTCAAACAATCACTTAGGTGATAGTCATAATACAGTTATTTATTATTGTTATATTTATAAAGCTGAATTATTATTATTATTATTATTATTATTATTATTTAGCATTTGTTTTACTTGTGTAAGTCACATTCGTACTTGTGCATATTGCCACTTCAAAACCTCTATATCATCAAACTTCTTTAGTTCACGTCTTATTGCAGATTGCAAAGTGCGAAGAAAAGTACACAAATTGAAGAATTTTGGTGAATAATGACTTTCCTCATTGTCAAGTTTGGAGCTACTGTTCATAAAGGTACAGTACTGTGCAAAAGTCTTAGGCCGTTATTGAGGATGCTTTCAAAAATAATGTCATAAATAAATTATATTATATTTTTTAGTTTTTTAGGTAGTTTGTGGTGTCATGGAGATGTTGCCGCAGTTCTTCTGGTTTCAGTCTGTCTCCGTTTTTTTCTGATTCATCATGTCTTGATTTGATGATTGTGAGATCAGATCTCTGTGTGGACCATACTAGCTGTTGTCAGACTCCTTGTGTATATAAAAATCTCACTGGATTATTAAAATTAATGACAAAAGAAATATGTGGAAATGTAAACTGAGATTTCCCACTGACACACTATAGCGAAAGACTAAATAACTAGCTTAAAACCATTTTTGGGGGGTGAAAATACTAATGGCATAAAAACCTGTGCACAGCACTGTATATTATGGCAGAATTTTCACTGTAGGGTGAGGTATTACTTTATGAATCTGGCTATATTAATATCTGCCTACTAAACACATTTTGAAAATGGATTCTCTATCTTGCAAATGTATGCTTTCTCTTCAGCGGGGTGCAGCATAACCCTCCCCAAGGCCTGTCAACACCAGACTCCCAACTGAGGGCTGACGGAAGCAGAGCTGCCAACCCTGTCAGTGGGGTGGTACCTCCAGAGTGTTGTAGGCTACTGCACCTGTTAACATTGGTGCTCA